GATCAATATTTTTTTTACCTCAGGATTTTATTTTAGGTTTTGGTATTTGTTAATATGTGAATTTTTTTTTCGCTTAAATTTAAGGTAAATATTAATAAAATCCTTTCACATTTTTTTATATTATATAAAACTAACTCTTTAAAATTAATTAGAAAATATGAGAAAAACATAAGCCTAATGGATATTTTTTGATTTTAGATAAAAAATCAAATAAGTGAAATAACTATGCTATTTGTATAGATTGTATTTGAGTATTAGATTTGAAGAAACTCAAAAAAAATTTACAAGTACAAAACGTGTATGTGCAAAACATCTTGAAAGTTGTTCATATTTTGTTGAAAAGTATATCAAAGAAGAAATTATAAGTATCATTAATTAAGAATTAGATCATGAGTCTAAAAAAAAATAAGCGATGATATACAGTTAACTCTTATTATAATGAACTCTATGTCCTAGACCTCAACTTCGCTTTAAGGCTATATTGAAGATTTTAAGAAATTTGATTGGTTAATTCGCTATAACAAGAGTATTTTTATTATATTTGTTTAAAAAATTCATTATATCAAGAGTTTGCTATATCAAGAGTTGACTGTATAAATAAAAAATCTGATGATGAAAAAGAAGAATCTAACAAGTCTGAAACCTCTAATCTCAATAACTTTTTTTATAAATCTTCATCTACTATGACAAGAAGTAATATAAGTGAAGTTTTTAACATATTATATTAGAGTTTTGGTCTACTTGACAATTATATGTATTGTGAATTAAAATTAGAATAAGTTAATATGTTTGAATATTTAATATTAAATGTGACAGTAGTATATAGCTTACCATTTAGTTTGATTGAAAATTCAGTAACTAAGTCTTTATTCAAATAGATTAACCCTATGCTTTCTTTACTAAATTAAAGGCAATTAAGTAGTCATATTCTTAATAAAGCACTAGTAAAATAATAAAAAATATTATTAAAGAAGCAGTAAATGATAAATTGAGTGTAATGTTGGCATTTAATGGTTGAAAAAATGTCACAAAATAAAATTTGTTAGGCTCAGTACTATTTACATCATCAAATAATATGATTATTTTAAAAGTAAAAAATATAAGTGACAAATGATATATATGGAAAATTGTTTATAATGAAACTATAAAAGCTTTTTAAGAATTAGAACAATAAAATATACAAATAAATGGGCTTATTACAGATTCAGCATCAGAAAATGCAGCAGCAAGATAATTATTTTATTAATTTTAAATTATTATAATGTATTAATTTAACTAACTTAACTAATTTAATACTATTTTAATTAATTAGAAAATGATTGTGTCTTAAGTTTCATAATAAATTGTTTCTACCTTGCTTTATACATCAAATGAATTTATATATAGGAGATATATTTAAGGAATCATTAAGTTTAAGTAATATTGCAGAAGAGGCAATTGAAATTATTATATTTTTAGTTATTTAAAAGTTTGGCTTTAATGTCTTTAAACTGAATAAATAAATACATATAAAATATAAATTTCTTTAATTTCTTCTGCTACAACCTGATAGAATTCTCATTACTATTGCTTTGCTAGTTTATTAAAAATAAAGGATGCTTTATAAATAAATTTAAATTAATTATTAATTTATTATTATTTATTAATTTGAAAATTAAAAATTAAAAATTTTATTAAAATTTAGCTACTAAAATTGAAGAAAAAATAATTTTAGATGAATATGATTTTCTAAATAAGTATCTTGATTGTATTCTTAATAATAACTGATAGTATCAAGTTATGAGAATAGAAGAGCTTTTAATTCCATATTGTTCAGCATTAAATAAAATTCAAAGATATAATTCACAATTATATGAGGTGCTTTATAGATTTGAAAGTATAGTAAAGGTTTTAAAAAGTTTTAATGATCAAGTTTTAGATAATATTCTTTGAAAAAACTTGAAAATCGATGAAAATAATGGGAACAACCACTTCTTCTATTAGCATTTTTACTTTATCCATTATATTGTGATTCAAAATTTAATTCAAATGCATCAAATTTATCTTTTGCTCATTTGGGTAAATGGATACTTTATTACTATTGTATTTAGTTTCAAGAAGATCCTACTATTTTATTATCTGAATTAGAAGATTATCATTAAAGCTCTGAACAGTTCAGATTAATCCAAAAATTTTCAGTTCAGATCAACTTCGGTTTAGTTTCAGATTGCAAAAAATTCAATCTGAAAATTTTTGGTTTGGTTCAGATTTTTTTCAGATTATAAATCTAATCTGAACCAAAAAAAATCTGAACTGAACTGAAAATTTCAGATTAATCTGAAATTTCAGATCATTTGAAATAATTATATTTATTGTTCTTTTAGAACGATTAAAGTTATCATTTCAAACGAATGATAAGAAAATTGTTCAATTGGAATAATTAAATTATTGTTCCAAACGAATGATAAAAGTAATGTTCAATTAGAATGATAAAACTATCATTTCAAACGAATGATAAAAGAATTGTTCAATTGGAATGATGAAACTATCATTCCAAATAAACAATAAAAGAATCGTTCAATTGGAATGATAAAACTATCGTTTCAAATGAACGATAAGAAAATCGTTCAATTAGAATGATGAAACTATTGTTTGATTGGAACGATGAAACTATCATTTGATTAGAATGATGAAACTATCATTCAATTGAAATAATAAAATTATCATTCTAAACAAATTATAAGAGAATCATTCGATTAGAATGATGAAATTATCATTCTAAATGAATAATAAGAGAATCATTCAATTGGAATAATGAAATTATCATTCCAAACAAAAGATAAAAAAATCGTTCATTTGGAATGATTGAAGTTATAATTTCAAATAAATGATAAAAAATCGTTCAATTGGAATTATGAAATTATTGTTCCAAATGATCTGAAATTTCAGATTAATCCAAAATTTCAGTTTAGTTCAGATTTTTACTGATTTACAGTTCAGTTCAGTTTCAGATTAGCATTTTAAGATTTATAATCTGAACTGAACTGAACTGAAATTTTTAGTTCAAATGATTAGAAATTTCTCGGCGCCAATCAAATTGATAAATCAGTTAGCACCAATATATAAAAAAATATTAATTTTTTTACTCACGTTATTTAACTTTAACAATGAATAGTTCATTAAACTTCCGTTTAAATGCAAGTCCAATTTGTCTCATTTGTTTACTATGTGAACATACTTATGGTAAAGATTGATTATGTCCACCTAAAGAATTTTTAAAATACATATAAAGTCCTTATAGAAAAAAAAATATTCGTGGCGATTTTTGGCGCTAAATACTGTAATTTGATTGGCGCCGAGAAATTTCTAATCATTTGATTGGCAACGACATCCGCAACTTTTGAAATTAGCTGTAAATAATGATTTTTCCAAAATTATAAAAAAATCCGGGCTGGTACCTTGAACCGGACCCGGCCCGGAGAATTCTAAACTTATATCTGCCGGCCCGTTGAAGGCCTCTATTCCAAAGTATATTCTTTGAGTTTTTAGGTAATGTATTGGTTCATTCGTGATAGAATCTGTTTATATGAACTCATTATATCATTAGCTTTATCTGTTAGGAAAGCTTGTAATTGTGCATACATTTCTGCTGACATTTTTTCATGTCCTAATTATAGGTTTTTTTTTAGTAATTAATCCTCTAAGACCATAAGATGAGCATACTTGAGCATACTTTCGTGCAGCACAAATCGCATCATTTGAAACCTAATAGAAATAAAAGGCTTAATAAGGAAAGTAGAATTAATAATCAATTATATTAAATGCAAATTAATTACTCATACCTAAGATTTTGGAGAACAAAGTTTACTTATGTTATAATTTTAAAAATAGAAAGTCAAAAAAAAAAAGAAAGAAAATCAAAAACCTACATTATGCAGCAGCCCACTTGTTCATAGAATTAAGTATTCTGAGGACATAGAATTTTTTTTCAGTGGTTTAATTTGTCATTTTTATTGGGTTGCTGCAATATTGAAAAGTGTAACGTCAAAAATTTATTTAGGGGTATCACTTTCTGAAGATAACGCGGTTGAAGGACAAGTTTCAACTAATACTATACAACAATTGGTTAGCCCAATTCGATCAAATATCCTAAAATATAGAAGATAAAACGATAAAAATAAAACGAAAAGAATAAATAAACCGAAAATTGTAAGAATAAAATAACAAACCTATAAATATCCGAAATTTAAATGCTATTAAATAAATGTCGCAAAATTTAAATGCTATATTCTTGATTAAAATATTATAATTCAGCTAAAAAAAGACAATTTTTAAATAAGTTGACAGTCAACAGTAATTACGAAACTGTAGTAAAATTGGCATATTGTGATTGGTCAAAAAAGTTTTTTATAAGTTGTCTGAAGTTGAAATTCAGATAACATAAAGGGTGTCTGTGGAATCTCAGACACCCGCAGAACGTCTTAATTCTAACTTCAGACGAAATTTCAATTTCAGTCATAACAGCCAACACTGATTAATTGATATTATTATATAAATTTAACGTCATAATTACTTCATTTTTTTTCAATAAAATCCTACTGCTTACAATACAAAATTGTTTATACATAAACGAAAGAACTGAATGCAACAATCGCGTGAAAATGAGTTTGTCTGAAAAGATATAGATACTATAAAAGAAATTTGTGCAGATTAAGAGATATTTTTTGACCTATACAGAGATTCGGACATAATTCCGAAGTAAGAAAATTTACGCAAATATTTCTTCAAAATTAAATAAATTAAGGTAGTCATGATCAGTATATGATTTTGGTAGTGTGGTATTGTGCGTATGTACTGTACATGGTAGGTGTATTTCCGCACTTTTTAAAAATATTTGTGTACAGAGTGTATGCGAATAATATTTCTAATATATCGTTAGTAAAATCATTAGTATATACAATAATATTTGCGCACTATCATTTTGATTTTCGCACATAATCATAATGTGTATTTTCCACATAATGACCGTGACTTCAAATTCAATTTATGCGCCTGGAGATAAAAAAGTGTTTTTAAAAACACCGGAAAGGAATGCTATTTTATGTGAGTTATTGCCCTTTTTCAATTAGGTTAAATCTTTTACACCGACATGGTATTGATATTCGCATTAGCGATTGAATTTATTGTCACCCGTCTTCAGGATTCGCCAGGCAACTTTAGTTATAACAGTTTATTTAAATTGCTTTTGAAAGAGAAGCTTTAATAATATTAACAATCACCTACATTTCTAGATTCATTCCTTATAAACCGTTCATTTATTAAAGATCTTCATAACAAACGCAGATTCATCCAAAATTCATGAGGCTCAGTAAAAAAAAAAATATTTGTCAGACACTTATTTAAAATTGCAAATTGTCGTTTTATATATTCAAATGAAATTATAACTAGATTCAACAATAATCAAAGAATTTGACTAAAAAAATGTGTTGTTATTAGCAACTACGCAATAAAAAAAAGATGTCGCTTCCGGTAACTACATTAAAAAAATAAATTGACAACAATAACAATTAAAGACATAAGCAATATGCTTGAGTAACTTAATTATAAGAAAGGGTGCGTCCGAATTGATATAATAGGCTAAATTTTATTTCAGAGGTAGAATATAATTATTAATTATTAGAATCACCGAATTCTTTAGATGAATATTTATTTGAAGGATTATTAAGAAGTAAATTATTAAAATATAAAAGAAGAAAATAGCAAATAGGACACAAATAGAACGACAAAAAATTAATAAATCAATTAATCAAATTAAAGTTATAAAACTTGTATATTTTTTAACTTCTATAATTCTTTCTTTAGTTCAAAGAAAAATAAAACTTTGGTTACCAACAACGCTTACTAATAGAAGAAGAGGCATTAAAAATAATCCAAGTAGTTTGAAAGGTGATCGTTTAAGGGAATACAACATATGGAATAAATACAAAAGCAAATGAGAGCTTAAACCTTGTTTATCAGACAATTTGTTATTTTGAATTGCAAAAAATTCTTTTCGGCAAAATTTCTTTTTCTTTGGATTTTCTTTTTATAAAACACTTGCTTTCGTAAATTTTAAAAATGTCATTACGTGAATAAATTTAATTCATTACTTACATTAAAAGTAATAAAGTACGGATTATAACTTTATTTGCGATCTTGATTATTAAATATAATTTGCTAAAAAAAAATATTATTATTTTATTTGAGGGTGAAATATTTGATTGAAGTAAATAATAGTTGAGGGCAATAGTTGCGCAACATTTTTTATAGTAAAGTTACGTGGAATTAAAGTTAGTTCGTGGCATTGAGGTTAGTAAACATAATTTCTCATATATCAAAATACTTAAAAACCAAGTCGCACGATTCATGTGCCTTGCTTTTGCCGGTGTTTGTTTCTTTGAATTACAATCTCACGATTTTCTATTAAAGACTTTGCTTTTTAATAATCTTTGATTAATAATGTAAATTTCTAAGTTGGATATAATCCAATTCACCATTAAACTTTATTAAATAAATACTATAAAGTTATGAATTACGAATTTTTTGCATAACAAATCATATGATAAAATATTACAAATAATAATTAAAGGACCCACATGATTTAGGCCGGGCAAAAAAAATTTTTATTTTTTTTTTTATATATATAAATTTTTTTTATATGTATTTTATATTATGTTTTATATTACGCAAATAGTAAGGTAAATGAAGGATATTACTATTATTGTAGTGAGTGTTATATGACAGTTTCTGACAAAAAAAAACGTGCTAAGAATATCAAGTTTCAAATTTTATAATAAAGTATATGCTATTACGATTTTTCATTATATAAAGTCACGTAATAAAAATTTACTATAAAAAAAAATCACGAGTTTTTGTAAAAATTGGGGCGTTCGGGTCACGAGAATCTAAAAAATATTTTTGCCCGGCCTTATCATTGCGATTTATCATTCAACTAGAACGCTTAGACCCAAAGTTATTAATTTTTTGAATACACATGTTTGTTAGTAAATTATCACTTGTGGCACTTTGAAGTTGCAGAACGCTTCTATTTAACAGATTAATAAAATCTTATGTAAATATCTAACTAATCTATTTTACAAATTAGATGCAACAACAACCAAAGAAATGTAATAGAAAAAAAAAAAAGTAATTTTTATTACTAGCTGCAACGACTAAATATGATCGATTTAATAAATATTTCGTTTACTTTTTTTATACCCTTTTTTTTTTCTAATATTAAGAAAATGTTACCCGAATATAAGAAACCAAGATCATCATGCAGAAATGTTTTTTGGCACAACTTCAAAATATTTTATTTACAAAATTTGAGTAAACCAATTGTATTACGTAAATTATGATTATGTAAGCCTATTAGAAGGGGTTAATTAGCTAAGGTATTTTTTGTTCTCTTATAATTGCGAAAAATGATTACAATCTTCGTATATTTTGAATTTATTTATTTTTTTTAATTATTCATAAACAAAAAAGAAAATAATTAAATTTAATACACATAATATTTTTAAAATAAAAATGAACCTCTTTAAATATTACACATATTTATCATTCATTTCATTGGTGACATATTCTATAAATTCACAAAAATTTTTTACATTTGATGATATGCCAACTATGAACGCCAGCGACAGCACTCCACATATATATAAAATAGTTAGTTATGAAGATAACAGGATAGTTGTTCATATCTTTCGTCCAGATTTATCATATCCCGATGTACCTGGTAAACTTTGGATAGATAAACATTTGTCATTTCGAACGATTTATCCTGATGGGAATGTTGTACCAGTTGATATGAAATTAGATATTCCAGATGTTAACTTTTGTCTATTGGACGTTAACGGAGTAACTATGAGTCCTATTGAGATTTTTCCTATAAGAAGTCATTATTTGTTGGTAACTTATGCGAATTTCACGGACCTTAATGATCAATATACTTATAGTGAATGGGCAATGATAGTTGATTTAAATGGAAATATTTATAGGTTAGGATAGAAAATTCAAATATGTTTGAGTAAAAAATTAAATGTTTAACCGTTGTAATTCATACTATTTTCATTTTTTAGCAGCATTTTATTTAAATCTTCATATATTAATACCACTAACCAATGGTTATCAAGTCGAGCTAGGATTTTTGTGAATTTCAATCCTTTCAGGGGATTTCTCCGTTTGGCACCTATAACAAATACTACTGATTATATTTGGCAGCAATACGAAGTGTAATTATATAATTTTTTAAGTTAATTTTGAAAAATAATTTTAATTAATAACTTATCTTTTATATTATAGAACCGAAAAGGGAGAAATCCTATTTCTAGCGGGAAATAGATTACATTTTTCAAACTTTACTAACCTAATAGTTACCGCCGTTCCAATGGTGGACGAAAATTATTTGATCGTTTATGCTAATTCTACGGATTCTGAAACTTTACTCCAAAATCCTTTTATTCCACGAACAGGAATCTATGGCATATATTTGGATTATGGCATAGATTTTGTGCGAGATCCTGTTATTCTTCATCTATCTTCAACTAAAGGATATAGAATTACTGATATTGATTGCGATATTATTTACTATATTGATTACTTTAAATATGGGCAAACTTGTATATTTGCAGGAAAATTTTCAAATCAAACAATTGAAAAATCATTTTACGTCAAAGTTGCATTACTGTTTCCAGGAATTGTTTATTCCTTTGAACCATTAATGATTAATTTTCAACCGATTTCAAAAACTGAAAAATTAAAGGTTATATCATTACGATATGGAGGTTAAGTCTTAATTAGAATTGGATTTCCTGATAATCAAGTTGTGATTGTTAGTTATCTTTTCAATGATAATAATGAAAGAAGTCACAATTTGGATCTTTCAACTCCTACTACGACAAATGCTCTAGGCTCCTGGAATATTTTGAAAAATAATACATTTGTACTTGCTCAAGGAGAAAAACGAGCTTGGTCTTTGGTAACTACTGATTTGTATAAATTTAAAAATGAAGGTAATATATAAAAAAATTAAATTCAACTTAAATTAATAATTTAACCTTGTTAATTTATGTATTTATAATTTTCTAGGTCATGGACATTATAATATACATATCAATACCACATTTCCGATGATTGGTGAAACAGTCCTATCTGATATAAAAGAGATTACAATACAATTTTATGATGAAGTTGTTTTATCAACCGGTCGCATTGAAATTTATCAAGGTGATGGGAATTTACGTCAATACATTCGAGGTATTAACGCTGCAATGATAACCCAAAGTGAAGATGGAAGAATTAGAGTTAAAATACTACAAAGCACTTTCAATAAACCTGGAAGTTACTATGTTATAATTCATGATGATTTTGTAAGGATCCGAGATTATCAAGAGTCTCTCTTTGGTGTAAAGGAACGTAATTGGTCTTTTAATATATGTAAGTTCTTATTTCACTCATTCCATGTAATAACGGAGTTATTTATATATTTTTTTAAAGTGGTTTCTAGAACCGAAAGATCAGAAGAAAGTTTAGAATACATGATAGGACGTGTTCGACTGACTCTAAATGGGACGGAATTTTTTGCCAGTCTTAACGAAAAAAAACGCAATGAATTTCAAATGAACCTAATAAAAGATTTTGCTGATGCAATTCCCATTAATTTTGATCGCATAACTATAAATAAAATTGATACTTCAGAAGATCAAACAATTTTATCAATTAAAATCCAACATGATGAAAATAAGCAAGAAATACTGACTAGTTTAGCAACTATATGTTTAGATACTTTGATCAAAAATAAAAATATAACTGCCATTAGAACTGGCATGGCTTCAAAATATTTAGATGAAGATTATGGATTTCAACCTCGTAAGAATCATTCATCATCATATGGTGCTTATTTCAAGTAGAGAAAACTTCAAAAGCTAATTACTATTTGAATATTCAAAATAGCCAATTGGTGGGAAACCAACAAATCGCCACTTATTGCAGTATTTGCAATCTTAAGCATATTTATTTTACTTTTCTTGTGGGCTAAACATAAAAATAGCGAGGTAAATCTCCTGGCAATGATTTTAATTTTAAGTTCTAATGATAACATCATATATATTTAGGCAAAGAATATTGAAATATTACAATTCGGTCTTATTATTTTTGATTTTGTTATTGATATTCTTTTTGTTATTATAAAAGCAAAAAAAGTTGATGGATTATTTATTCCAAGGTAATAAATCATTTTTTATATATTAATGTAAACATACCGATACTAATTATTTTTAAAGTATAATAATCCTAGTATTTCCATTTATTGTGAGCGTTGGGTTGGCATTTACGATTATAAAACAAGAAAATAAGAACGATGAATTTTTAGAATGGTCAAGAAATAATATGCAAATGATATCAATATTCACATTATTAGCGGGAGCAAATATTGAAGTTTTAACTTTACTTGAATCCAAAATTGCAGGATATACATTTTTTAATGCTAAATTTTCTGAAACGGCATTAAATAAAATAATTTGGGGAACTTGGTTCAATTTATTTGAAGAAATTCCTCAAGTAATAATCCAGGTATAAATATATATTCTTTAGTCTTCTTGTCTTTCAATACTATTTATTAAATCCATAATAATAAAATTTTTTAATTAATTTTATTAATAAAGATTTTATACTATAAAAAGATAGTTACTTATGATATTATACCCTTGTTAGCACTTTCATCATCTTGCTTAAATTTATTAATTAATATTATAAGAATTACTAAAAGAACATATAATACTTACATACCTAAAGAACATAAATACGAAGAAATGTTTATAGGAAATTCTAATAGTGATTATAGTGATGTAATCGATAAAGATGATGGAAATTTTGGTGGATTAATTGATGAATGCATTTTTTAAAATTTGATTCATATTTAAATAGTTGTGTAAAATTGTATATAATAGTTATTGCTTCAGTCATGCTTTAAATTAATATTGTTATAATAATAATATTTGAAAGTTATAAAAAGTCTATTATATTTGATATTAAACCGTTGGCAAAAAATATCAGTCCATCAAAATCAGCATGATCCTAATAGACTGACCAATAATCCTAAATAAATGTTACTAATAACAAATTTTATTTAAAATGTATATATTTAACACCTTTTATTAATATCGCAATCAGAATAAAGTCACGATGCCTACATAAAATTCATAAATTTAAATTAGGTCCATTGATCTTTAATTACATAATTGATATTGAGATTAAATTGCGACAATGCAAATAATAAATTAATATTATTTTATAAAGATTTTATCGAAAAAAATAGATAATAATTTCAGATTATTGAAAGTCTAAATTTTTACATTAATAATGTAATTCATAAAATTACATTCAATTTAAAAAAAATAAATGGATTTATTTATTTAAAGAATAACTATATTATCCAGGATTATCTTCTTATTTATTTGAAAAAATAGAGATAAAATACCATGGACGTAATAAAATCCGCACCAGTAATGTAATTATTATAAAAATTCATACAATTGATATAATTCTTTTCAAAAACTTTTATTGTTGATTTTTTTGATGATTGACATTAGGTGATTTTCTTGAAACTAATATATTTTTTTACTTTGTTATTTTTTTCTGGTTTTTACTGTATATAATACTATATATATTTCAGACATTATGACGATGGATTAGTAGCTAAAATTAGAAAAAAGTGTTGCTTACAAAAGACATCGTAAATTTTAGAATTGCCAAAAAATATAAAGACTGGAAAATTTTAATTAATCAATCCAAATGGAAAAGAATTATATTTGAAATGAATGACCAGATGAGCAATTAAATAGCTTCAACATTAAGCCAACAATTAAAATTGTTGGTCGCTTAACACAACACATAAGGACTTGGATATGTATGACTAATACATGAAAATCTCAATACCCAATTTTATATAGAAATTTTATCTGGTAAATTCAAAAAAAAAAAAATAAATATTATAAATTAAACATTAATAATATAATCTTATGCATGAGAGTGAATTGTTTTGTCATTCTCCTATGTCGCATGAAAAGTTATAAATTTTGCTTTACAAAAACTATTTTAGTGACTTATAATCAGAAAAAAAAGGAATATCGGGGAAATTATCATCTTTAATATAACCTACACCTAATGATGTCAACTTAATAGTATATTTTACAGTATAACTTGACATAGTTTAGTTAGGCTACTTTATAATGTTAAATAGATATTTTTTGACGTTCATTATAATAACAAGTTTATTTAATATCTGGGAAACGTTTTATTTCCAAAAAAGTATTTCGTTTATACATAAATTAAATTGTATGTAATATTTATGTATGGACTATACACATTAATTAACGAAATAGTTGAAAATTTAGTTGTCTCAGAAGATTCATGCTGTTCACATGACTTATATTTAACATTTGAAGCTCGGCATGAAATTCCCATTAAAAAATCCAAAACTTAAAAAATTATAGAATACTGAAAAATTAAAAGAACTCACAAGAACTAAACACTTTACTTCTTTGAAAAGCCTAAATAAAATCTCATAATAAAAATATTTTATTTTATTTTATTTTTTTTTTTTTTTGAAAAAACGGACTGTCAGATGAAAGTGACTGTTATTCGAAGGCCTAAATAATAAATCGGGTAAAAGTTATTGAAAAAGACAATACTCGATTTTATTAAGAAAGATATTATGTAATGATTTTTTAACTATAGTTAACTAGATTAGGTCGGTGTGCGGCCGCTAGGTATGGATGGTTATTAGAATCGATTTGATTATCATTTCTCAAGATTCGATTAATCGAATATAATAGACTGATCAATTGAGTTAGGTGCTTGAGAACATCCTAAATCCGAAAAATAAAAATACTGTAAATTAAAAAAAAAATGGGGAATATAATATGCAAATTAAAATTAAAAAAAATATTAAATATTAGAACCCACGATTATAAAAAAAGTTCAAAATTAAATAAATAAAATAAACAAAAATAAAAAAATAAAAAAGTACAAAATTAAGAAAATAGAAAGTAGAAAATAAAATTAAAAAATTAAAATTAAATATTTAATTATTTTAATTTAATAAAAAAATTTAATTAAATTTATCAATTTGATTTTATTAGAATCGACTAGCAATTCTACCTGGGCGATGCGCGGGGTTGCTATCGCGATGATAAAAATAAAGTTTTAATAAATTTATAATAATATTTTTATAAATACTTCTTTTTTTTTTAACTTTATTAATTTTAATACGTTTTATTTTCTTTACATTTTCATTTTTCTTTTATTTTTCGTTTAATTTATTTATTTATTCGTTTAATTTTTAATTTTTTATCATTTTTTTCATTCCCCGATCTCGGGTTTATTTTTTTCTTTATTTTCTTTTTCAATTTTATTTTTTTAATCTTAAATTTTTATTTTTATTTTTATTTTTTATTTTTCAGTTTTTTATTAATTTTAATACCCACTATTTTTTTTAAAAAAAATTTTTTATAATCGCTAAAGATTTTTTTTTATAATCACGTGTTCTAATAATTAATTTTTTTTTTTAATATTATTCAATTAATTATTTTTATTCAGAATATTAAAGGTAGGTTAATTCTTTTATACTACTTCGTGAAACATGAGTGTCCTTGTTAAATTGATTATTTATACTGTATTTTCTCTTTCAGGTTCGATGTAAAAATCGAATTTTTTTGAAAACAATTCTACTTACCAAACCTCATTTATTACGTACGTCGAAGAATTCTTGCAGTGCATATAAACCAACCTTCCAGACTCGGATTATTATATCGCAATAGATAAACGTAAAGGAAGATCAATTTTTTTGCAATGAGGGCAAATCTCATTTTCAGACGACATTTAAAATGTATTTACTAAATGAATAGTATTCGTCGATTCCTTTCTTAAAAAATTTTTTGATTCTTCAACACAATCGCTTCTTCAAATGATAATTTACAAGTGATTGATTAATCATACAAATTTTTATTTAATAAAACTTTTTTCATTTAAAAAATTAAATTAAGAATTCAGTTAAAGGCCAATATCTAGTTGGCCATTATTTGTATCTAAAAAAAGGTAAATTGCCTTGGTTAAAAACTTCGACCATAATGCTAGGATGCCATATCGTTAGGAAACAATACATATTTTTAGGATGTCAAGTTGCCCTAATATATTTTAATATATATATACTGGGTTTCTCTTGGGACTTTAAAAAGTTCTTTAAGTTTTTTTTCGCCTTCCTTTATTTATACATAAGCCTTAATTTCTTCTTTTTTTCCTTGTGAATTATAATTTTCGTAATTTAACTTTACAACTTCATAATATTTATGTTGTAACTTCGTTAATCTCGTTGTTTGAATTCCCAAATTGTAGAGAGCGCCGATGTTGAGCGACACTGATTAATTAATTTTATTGAATAACATTACATTATTCAATTGATTATTAATAAAAAATCTTTCTGCTTACATTTAAAATTGTTTATAAATACATAAACGAAAGAATTGTATACTTTCGAAGTCTCGTAATAAAACTTTTACAAATAAAACTTTTTGGTTAAGATTTAAAAGGTTGACCCGACCGAGTGACGTGAACCGAAAATGCTAAGTGCGTGGCTTACAAAATGGAATAGAGTGAGCATGGGTATGTCATACTGAATTACTAAGTAAGACAGAAAGTAGTGAAGTCCGGGTGTTAAAAAAGATGTTGAGTATGATTCACTAGTGGTATTATACATAGGATTAGGATTAGGATTCGGATTATATAGGAGGTTAGAAATAGAGTATTTTAAGATTAAATTATAAGATTAAATTTTCATTAATCTTCTACAAATTATAGTATTACATTACTCCACTCATTTGACCAACCTCATTAGGAGCTAAGTTAATGCTGGTAGGTTAAGGTTAGGTAGGACAGTTGAATATGAAAAAAAAATATACTCCATCTAATTCCACGCTCTTTTTCGTATGCCGGGAAAAATGTTGTACAACGGTAGTATTTTTAAATATATTCTGATTTTTTATCTGGCCGTAGCATTTACATCGACAAATTTTGTTGATCTACGAAATCACATTTCTTTTCTATTTTTCTCTTTTTTTCTTGTCTTTCGTTGAAGTTACATATTAAAGAAAATAAAAAAGAATAATAAATCAAACGATCTTCAAATATTGTTTATCATGCACATAATAAACCAGTTTTCAAAAATCATCGAATACCGTCACGTGACCGAAAACCATTGCCATATTTATCGCCATGGGCGTACGTACTGCATTTCAAAAAAAAAAAATTATTTCCATTTTGGTTGAACAAAAACATTTTATCAATGGATAATCCAGAAAAAAACACAGAAGGTTCAAGCGATGATGAGAAATGTTCTTATTGTAACAATCCATTCACTGAAGATTTATGGTGCAAACCATGTGATCCGTTTAATAAGATGATGGGTTGGACTAGTGGTAATTCGAAAGTTGATAAATTCATCAGGGATTCTATTTACGAAACGAGATCACATACTTCTTCTAGACGTTATCTTGAATGGGTGCCATTTGAAAAATTTAAGAATATAAAACAAATTGCTGAAGGTGGATTTTCCAAAGTTTATTCCGCAAATTGGGAAGACCGACGTATGAAATTTGTGTTAAAACGTATTAATGGATCACAGAATATATCTATGAATTATTTAGCAAAGGTGAATAATTCTCATTCAACCTGATTTTCTTTTTAATTATTTACTGTATATATTGACATCAATTTCGGATAAATCCGCTCATGATTTTAACTTTTTAGCTCAAAAATTGTTGGAAATTGAATTCCAATTTGAATAGCCCAAAAAATTTACTAAAGTTTTATGGAATAACGAAGGATCCGGATACCGAAGAATTTATGCTGATTATTCAATTGGCCGAATATGGAAATTTAAGGGATACTCTTGCAACAAATTTCAACAAATTATCCTGGGAAGATAAATTTCCTTGGATATTTGATGTGTTACTTCATATTTATAAATTACACGATTTAGGCCAATGTCATAAGAATTTCCATAGTGGAAATATATTACAAAATAAATATCATAAATCTTCTAGTTTAAGACTTACTCATGTTACAGACATTGGATTATCAGGACCAGCAGATCAGCAAACATCCGATGATAAAATATACGGCGTTTTGCCATACATTGCTCCAGAAGTTTTAAATGGGGAACCATATACTCTGGCCTCTGATATTTACAGTTTTGGAGTCATTATGACAGAATTATCTTCAGGAAAACCACCATTTTATAACAGAAAACATGACTTTACATTGGCTTCAGATATTTGTAATGGACATCGTCCAGAATTTGGAAACGGAACTCCGGAATTTTATAAAAGTTTGGCCCATAGATGTATGAATTCTAATCCCGATCATAGGCCAAATAGAAATGAGTTGTATGATATGTTTGAGTTTTGGGATGGTACCAATTATGAAAATTACAAGTTTGAGAAAAGGTTTGGGTATTACGGAAATGAAATCAGGTTGGGATTTAAGGAAGCAAATAAAGATATACCAAATATCTCAGTTTCTTATGAAAAGGATCCTGATGCCATATACATTAGCAGAGCGTTTACCTTTACTAATCTACCAAAACCTGTAAATTCACCTCTTATTGCTCCATACCTTCAAGAAAATGAAGAACAAGAGAAAGGTGATATATTTATTAAAAAAAAAAAACTTAATTGTGTTAAATTAAATAAGTTGTTGGTATTCTAAAAATTATTTTCATTCCTTAGTTATTAAAGAACTAGTGCAAGGTTAAATCGATATCTTAGGAATTACTTTTGTTATATGGAATGTTATTTTGTTGGAATAAATTTAAAATTTATTTGAACAATATTATTCAGGTTAATTTTTTAAGTCACCCTTACGTTATCTTTTTATTTCATAACGTGACATTGACATTGAATACTGTCTTAAATTTTTAATATCTTTATGAATAATCATTTGATTCTGTTATTCGATTGTCCTGGTTTTATTTAAACTTTCCACCTTCACTCTTTGTTGTTTAATGATTTATTAAAAATTGTGAATGATTTTACAACTATATTGAAAACAATGTTGAAATATCTTCGATAGCTTTTGAACTGTTGCAATCGAAAGGGGAAATTGGTTAATGCGAATCTCAAACATATCTCGGACTTAAAATTTATTCTTAAGTATATGCAACTTTTATCATCTGCTTCAAAACATTTTTTTTAAATTTTATTTTTTTTTTTTTTTTTATTATTTTTACATTTTGTTCTTATTTCTCACATAATGGTATGTAAAAATAAATGTGGTTTTTGCCCAAAATGCTCAAATGTTGATTTTCTTCATTATGTTTGGAAATTCATTTTTTTTTTTAATGGAGGTATGATAATAGGAAATTGCCAGTGAAAGAAGTCTATTATTAGAAAGTTATTAACAAATAAACATTCTAACTAACATCAAGGAACTCAAATTACCTCCGTTGGACAAAGTTTCCATGAATAATTTGGTATAGGCTTTTACCCTTATTAGAGTAAAGCTTTTGTCTTGTTTTCAGTCAAAGCTTTTAAATGTGATGATGCGGCGGAATTAATGCTTAAAATACATGATACAAAGTAAATTTCTACTTTTTATGCTGAAAGTAAATATTTAAAAACCTTCGCAATTAGAGACACAGAGAAAATAATTCTTTTAAAGCAAAAATGTAGAAAATAAGAAATTATTTACATACAAGCTTTTAGAATTCTTGATTGATTTTGAATAAAATATGAAGTTAAATTATCATTTAACTTTCATTTTTGGAAGAATTTAATTTAATTAACGAGTTCAATTCTTGGTAGTTTAATAACTAAATAAGCCTTAGACTTTTCAATGTTCTTATAGCTTATGCATATGATATGCATATGCTTTGCAAAAGATGAAATTTTAATATATATAGATTTTTTTCCAAAAAAAATCTCGTGTCACTTTACTTTACATTTCGCTTCAAGTTACACAAGTATTTTTATGTGTCAGTTTTTTTTTTTAAAATTTCTTTGATTGTTTCAAATGATTTCTGTGTTTATAATATTTGAACCCTTTTCTTTTCTCTAGGTATTTCTTTAAGTTGGATTACTTTAGCAGGTTTGAAATATATTATTTTTTTTTTATTTAATATTTTTTCTCCTTAAGACACAATAAAATACTTTTCTTTAGCTCCCAAATATGAGATAAGTAATTTTTTATTTAATTTTATTTTAATTTTTTTTAAATTTTTTTAGTATTAGCGATGGAGAATCGTTAAGTTACCCTCAGGCCTCCCTAGTTTCTGTTTAAAGTAAGGTTGGAAATTTATATCTTTTCTTTCCCTTTTTCGGCCATATTTGATTGCTCTTCATCACACTTCCTAATTATTTAAAGAAAGCTTCGTCATTAGATTGAGTTAATGTTTATTACAGAGCGCTAATTGATGTAGTAATAGTTGGTGTTATTTATATTTATAAATAAAATCTTATTCCTCTTAATTCTTGATCTCATCGATTATAAATTAATCAATATTCACATTCATTGTAAAATATTGTCTTCTCCCAAATTAATTATAAATTAACACTTATCCTGAAATTAGGAAATTAATGATATTTCGATCATTTAATAACAACAAACCAGTTAAAATTAAACAAAACTTACCAGTGTTTATTTAAATTATCAATTTTTTTTTTTCAAATTTAATTATTATTATTAGAACTTAGTAGTCATTGAATCAGAAAATTAAAGGTTTTTAATATTCGATGAAATTCCATTTTCTGAGTAATGTATTCCTGGAACTCCTAAAACATTTTGATGATTCATTACAATACGATAGTTCCAAAGCATTTATTTAGATTTGAATGGTAAAATTAATAAAGATTAAGTGTTATTAAACCATTCATTTTTCTTCTATTTGATTAGTGAATCATACTCCTCCTATTCTCTTAAATAAGAAGCTTTCTTTATCGACTTGCTTAATTAAAAATCACACCAAATACATAATGTTATAGTGTGATAATAAGTATAAACTTCTATATAAAATCTATAATGATATAATGCGTAATTAAAATTTTACAGATCAAAGTCGAAATATAAAAGAATGAATATTACTTTCGTGCTAACGCGTAATCTTCGAATTGTAATTTGTGAGATTAATCAAGGATATAAATTAGATCTATCGTATTATTGTTGAAAGAGAATGTAATTATAGGATCGAAATTTGGAAATGGTTCGACATTCTCTATATATAATTAATCACATAAATTATAATACTTACATTCTGTTAAAGTCACAATTTTACCTTATTTTTAAAAAAAGCAGTACGGAGTGATATTTATCTTTCCTTACTTGTAGTAACAGTCGTGAAATTATCAAAGTACGGATCCTCTGCCTCTATAGTCATAAATGAATTCATAGGTTTAGATTATGTATTCATAAAGCGAGAAAAAAGATATTACACTTTGCGAAGAAACTTACTGTACGTCAGCTATTCAATCTGAACCACTGCTACCTATCCCAATCAAATATTTGTCCATTTCCTCAGAATGTTTAACTCCAGTTGGTTTCGTGTCTAATAAACAGAAAGCATTATATCCGGGTTGTGTAACTAATATAGGATTTGAGAAATTGTCATCAATGAGAAAATCTTAAATGACGTGACTGGAATAAGTCTCGCCAAACCAGATTGCTCATCACCGTGTAATTGAACTAAATCTAATTTAAGTATATCAACGATTTTTGTTATATAATCTAGTGATTGATTTTGAAATACACCTACAATCAAAGGTTTCCTAGCGCGACTTATTCTCGTCGCATGCAATTAAACCAATCAAGCTGTTTTGATGATGTCAGAATTTATCATCATTAATTTCAGTTTTCTTTTCTGATTGCATTTCTCTAATAACATAACAATTTCCAATACTAGATTCAATGGGAACTTGTCGTCTAGATTTTGCAAAGATAAGATCGGCAGCTGCTTCAATGGACGCTTCGAGAGTTAAAATTCACATGGAAATAATACGGTAAATTTACAAGAAGTAGTAGACTTTTTTGCCCTAAATTGTAATTGAAATTGATAAAATAATTGTAAATTTATTTTAATATGATCTATTTCTCATGGTTATCAGCATCGATACTTTAAACGAATGTGACATATTTTGAAAACTGAAAAGTGCAAAGAGTATCCGTTAAGTTTGCCGACAAAAACCCGGAGGTTTCGACAGCATCGAAATCGAAACTGTCGGAAATCACGCCGTCGAAACCCGTCGAAACCATCGAAATCAAAGGTTTTGACTTTGCCAAAATGGGATTTGGTTTGACCCGCAACCTTGGATGATTTGAATTGTTCTAAAAATAAAATAATTCCTGCTCCCTAATTTTTTTAATCTAATGAGTTACTAATTATGAAATCTAGTATTATATGCAAATTTACAACAAAAAAAAAAAATTACAAACCAGTGGAATTTCAAAAACATCGTCAATATTATATATTATAAATGAATATAAATAAAAAAAAAAACAATCAAACTGTGTTCCTGTATGGATGTTAGATTGCTTCAGGTTCTAACTGACTTGAATCCGGTTCGAACTTATCTACATAATTCGGATTTCAAAACATGCTTTGAGCAAATTTAAAATACTGTTGAAAAAGAAATCGCATTTATTATTTGTTCACGGGATGCAATGTTGCTTGAACAATTAAGTAATAAATTATTGCATTTTTCGAACCGGAAATATTAATATGGCAAGAATGTATTCTTTAAAATGAATTTATATTAACAAACAATACTGAAATTAACAAAAGAAAAAAATAATACAAAAAAAAAAAATATATATATATTTTCTTCAAATAATTTAATTTAGTTGTTTAATTAATTAATAAAGACCTTCTCTCTATTTCGTCTAGTCTTTTATAAAATTCATTTTTTTAGAAAAAATCATTATTGTCAATTAGCCCCCAAAAAAATTGTTTCATAATAAATGCTTGCACTTAGCCAGATATAGATGAATCTATAACTGTTTCTCCTGGACACCGCGCAGAGGTGGCAAGCTTCGTTCAGGTTAAA